TCACTTTCACCAGTTTATTTCACTGGTCCTACTGGTCCGTGCACAGAGCTGAAGTCCCTTTCACCAGTTTATTTCACTGGTCCTACTGGAGGAACCAGACACACATGGTTCCTCTCTCCGCCTGAAATAGGGACATGAAGTGAGACGAGACCAAACACCATTTCACTGCCATGAAGACACTGAAATGTCCATTTTCTGTTGTAATTAATGAGAGACAGAGACAACACTGAGACGTCCTGCAGCTGTTTTATTAGAGACACATCTGGACAGGAATTCAAACATTAGAGACTCTTGGACGTTGGAGTGAGTTCACTACCCAGCCAGGATGTGTTTGACGAACTCGGTGTAGTTGATGTGCCCGTTGGCGTCCTCCTGTCCCGCCATGAGACGGTCCACCTCGTCTTCAGTCATCTTCTCTCCCAGTGTGGCGAGGACGTGACGTAGCTCCGCCCCCATCACAGTGCCGTTGCCCTCCTTGTCAAAGACCCTCAGACCCTCCACAAAGTCCTCAAAGTTGCCCTGCTCTTTGGCGCGCGCTACGTGCTGCAGCACGGGCAGGAAGCCGTCGAAGTCCAGCAGCTTGACGTGCAGCTCCTCGGCCTTCGGCCTCCCCAGCAGCTTCAGCACCTCGTCGTTGGTGGGGTTGTGTCCCAGCGCCCTCATGACATCACCACACTGAGCGTAGGTGATCTTCATCTCACCTGTGGGCGTCTCGTCAAACAACGAGAAGGCGTCTCTGAACTCTTCGATCTGGTCTGGACTGAACTCGACCACGATGCTCTTCAGGTCCACCTCTGGAGGTTTGGGCTCCGGTTCCACAAGCTTGGGAGGAGGAGGAGGTTCCTCCTTTTTTGCTTCGACCTTCTTCACCTCGGTCTTCTTTGGTTCCACCTTCTTCGGAGCCATGCTACTGCAGAATGAAGAGCAGAGATGGAGGAGGTGCCCTGTCGGTTGTTTTATAGACAGCAGAGTTTGGATGAGCGAGGCAGGAATGACTGAGGAGAGAGAGAGAGAGAGCAGGAGGCCAAAGATGGAAGAAACCTGGAATAGAAGCACTCGAGATAAGAGACAGGAGATAAGACGCTTCCAGGAGCTGTTGCAGCAGACATTCCACTGGTGGAGCACTCTGCGTCACTGGAACTGTGCCTGAAGGGTCTGACCCGGACCGTGAGCAGAACCACCACCGCTGATCCAGTGATGAGGCTGTTAAGCTCTAATCAAGAACTTACAAACTACCATAAAACTACAGACTCCGTAAACTACTGAGCAAACTACACATCAGCCATCAAACTAACTAATCACAGGCAAACCACTGATAATCTGTCAGATTACACATCCAGCCAGCCATCCATCCAGCCAGCCATCCA